AATTCTCTGGCGTGTTTTGACCGGGCTTGGTCGATAATTCTCACTGATTCGAAATGAAACGTTTGCAAACAAATTGCCAAGCTCGGCGAACAGGCGAAATAGAATTCAGTTCACCCGAGCTACAAGAACCGGTTTTCAATTCTTTGTCATAAACTGTCGGTGTTAGAACACTTCTGTGTACGCATTATTGCACGAATTTGGTGGGACAGCCGTGTCAGGGACAATAAGGTTGGGGGCAGACTAAAATAATCGCAGTCATCCACTGGAGCACAGTACAACCTCTACGGACTTGGTGATGGTGGCCCTGTAGTTTGGTTGCTGTCACCGCATGTTTTGGACCCGATTTTTAGCCCTGCCACAGCCACTCAACTTTGGTGTTAGGCAGCTTTGTTATCGCCCGTGTGAAATGCTACACCTAACCTAAGGTGACCTTATGTGGTTCGGCACTGTTAGTCCCGAGGCTTAGGTTACCTTTTTCCATGACGGAGCAGCATGTGTTTGCAACTAACAGGTTCGTCTCGTCTGCTGTTCATCACACACTTGTGTTACTCACGTTATCAGAATAGCTACCAAGGCGTGCAATGTTTTCCGAGCCAAATAGTGGATAGGAGAAAGTCAATAAGAGTCAAACTCAGACCTAACGTGAGGATATGAATACCCCAACCGGGTGACATGCTGATGTGGGTAGCGTTAGGCTTCCTGGATAGTTACGTTAAGATCGATGGTTAGAAGTACTGAGTGTTGTGACTTTATCGTAAACAGTGGCGCTAGTCCATATAATTTCTCTGTTTTCACCTTGTCACTAACTTTGGTATTCCACTCTTCCCTCTTACGCTTCATCCAAATGTGCAGCCAAGGTCAGCAACGAAAGCCGCCGCTCGAAAGTTCGCCATTAATGATTCTTTAAACTAAACCGGTCTAGGTCACCATTAACCAGTCCTCGGGGGGATAGTATCATGATTTCATGGCCACTACCACCTAACTTATGCATTTTCTGTATGTCCCTCACAAGCTTCCGTTAATAGTTCTCTGAGTTTTATAAACTCTCCACGTCAGCCACGATGAAAACAATAAAGTTAAAGTGATGCATTTTTATATTGAGTATTCATTGCGATTTCTAGGAGAACCGTTTTCGCGTATCGATACATTGACATATTTGTTGGCGAACATCTCTCCAACTTAAAGTACGATGTGCAATGCACTCAGTATTGAACGCGGTCAGTGCTAACGAAGGCCAACGTTCGAACTACACATGATACCCGGTTAGACCTACGGTGCGCACCTGAATTTTGGACTAAGTGAAAATATTTGGCCCCGTTGAATAGAGTGACTAATATCTTTCCCTTTTCTTAAACAAGACTTTCAGAAAGCAGATACAGTACCAATACTTTCTGGTTGAATGTAGTATTAACTACTGTTGACCATTTTTGTCTAATTTTGCTCTACATTGCTCCCTCACTACACTAGATGTGCGTGCGGGCAGAACAAGAGAGCTAAAACGATTTCTGATTATCAACGTGTCTGTCTGCAAAGAACTGCTTGTCAGACATGCAAACCTCCAGATACATGTTCATCCTCGTCTAAGAAACGAGAATTTCATGTGGAACCAATGTGCCACATTCAGTCGTGTTTATCTCACAATTCCTTCATCAAAAGCTCCCCACGCTTTCTATCCCTAGCGACTCGTATTATTCCACCGTAGCTAAGATATCGGACGTTACTCATTGGTGCTTTGCAATGTTTCAGTTTCTTGTTTCAATCATCCGTGATGCTTGCACGAACGTAAGTTGCCTCAGCTATGGGCTACCATACACCGTTCTAAGGTACGGAACAAAATTATTCGAGTAACCCATAATTTCTTGGGGAATTCACAACCAGAGCCTTCGATAGCCAAAGTCTAACCCGCAAGCCAGTGGGTGTGAAAACCGCAATCCATTGGGGTTCGGTATCCAGGTGATCAGGTCATCCACCCTTTAGATGGAGTCAAACCCCCCAGTTGCCCTCGATGCCTAATCCAGTCGGTGACCATTGCCACTACCAGCATGTGTGCGGTTCGTGCGCGTATTTTTATTTGATTTGTGATCAAGGTTTTTAGCCAACTCCCTTGAGTGAACTGCCAGTGATTCACCGACTCAGTAATAACCCCGGCTGTTTTCCTTTTCATTCTCCTTTTATTGGAAAACACCTCCGAATCGGGAAGGTAATGAGTAGGGCTTCTTCATCTTTTTCAGGCTATTTGAAAGGCTTAGTCACATAGAAGCATTTCACGAGGTACAACGGAAGGGTGACTAACCAAGACCTGTGATACTCCTCGCTGACCATACTGAGGCCATCACGACGAGACTGCACCTTGACGTGGTGTGATGGCTTGCGTGCCTCAATGACCCTGCGAGCTACACAGAATGCCTTCAGATCCAATCTTGTCTGAAAGGTTAACGGGTAGAGGCCAGGCAAAGCTCAGTTTCACAAAGCCAGCTACTTGGGCGCCGCCTGACTTCCCTCTTCTATCCACACCCGCCCCTG